ACACAAAACAAAACCGCAAATATTTCACTGCCAGAAGTACACAAACAATACGAAATTTGCTGTACGAAATGATGACAGGTACATTAAGAGTTGTTATTCTTAATATTGTTTTTGTACTTTTTTACATTGTATGATAGTCCAAAAAATTAATAAAAAAATAATTTTAACATTTAATTTGTTTGTACATTATTTGTAATGAGTTAATATACAGGGAAACATTTGCAATGAGTATTGTACTGTTTCATTTCCAATGTTGCAACATCCAGCAGAGTACATTTCAGTTTTGTTTTTTGTTTCCACTCATCTACACAAACAGTACAAAATAAGAAACAAGTCCCGTTATTTTAATATTGGGTTTTTTCGTACTTTGAAAAAATACAGAACGAAACGATTGCAAACGTTTCCAATAGTTTATTTTCGTTCCCTGGTGAAAAATATCTAAATTTGCATCCATAGCGTATATTTGTTATCAATATTCCTTTCTTTTTGAAGAAATCCAATGTACTTAATGAAAGTGCAATTTACATTTAGATTGATCACGATTTCGTTGATGTTGACTAGCGAACGAAAACAAACGAAACGATTAACGTATCCCTCTCGCGAAGACACAAACTTTTAATTTTTTTAATCGTTTCGTACTCCAAACAAAATAAAACCACAAACATTTCAATGCCAGAAGTACACAAACAATACGATTGCCTTAATGTACTTCGTGTGTGTGCTGCCGAGTTGTATCGTTTGCGAACCAATCGCCAGGAAACGTTTGCTGTGCGAAATGATGACTGGTACATCAAGAATTGTTATTCTTAATATTGTTTTTTGCGCTTTTCACATTGTATGATGGTCAAATAAATGAATAAAAAGGAATAATTCTAACTTTTAATTAGTTTGTACATTATGTGTATTGAGTTAATATACAGGAAAACGTTTGCAATGAGTATTGTATTGTTTCGTTTCCAATGTTGCGTCATCCACCAGAGTACATTTCAGTTTTGTTTTTGTTTTAACTCATCTACACAAACAGTACAAAATAAGAAACAAGTCCCGTTATCTTAATATCGGTTTTGTTTCGTTTCGTACTTCGGGAAAATAGAGAACGAAACGTTTCCAAGAGTTTATTTTCGTTCGCTGATGTTGATTCTCTCGCCGAAAACTGTGATGTGAAATAGTTTTTTCCGTTTTTTTGTTAATTTTTATTTAACTCTGGATTTAAGTTATTCGAACAGGGAGATCCGATAGTTTGAGGTATGATTCAAACAAAGGGACGTGTGAATTACAGCATCCTATATTTGAATTGAATATAATAAATTGAAATGGTCAAAATTTGTATTCCAATTGTTCCGGAAGGATATTACTGTTTTATTAAGTTGTTTGAAATCTATATATGTCAAATCTGATTTTCTTTAAATTTGTACCAAAATCAATTTTATTTGCACATATAATGAGGTATATGATGAAAAAGAAACGTGAAATCGAAATTGGTTACATATGTGAGCTATATCTAAGTTTGATCCGATTGAACAATTGCAACAGTGGGCGTCCTTAGTCTCAAACAACTAAGTGCAGCTGTTTGTCTAAAATTAACATTTAATTGATTATATGATGGAATATGGATATAATAACTTGACTCCCCATGCCAGGTGACAATAGTGTTGCCAACAACATGTCAACGTAGAGCGAGTACGAAGGAGATCGCTGACAAGAAGTACCTACTATTACTATTAAAAAATAGATAATATCAAAAATCGCGTGCCTTATAATTTTGCTTAAATTACAGAATTCACAAGTGTGAACCTACAGTTGAATACATACATTACCTTGGTCATTATATTATGAGTAAAAATCAATTTTTCAACATTTCTGTGTAGCCTTTATCGATTAGGTTTTCGTGATGGAAAATTAATTCTCGTTTTTCTGATACACATCTACGCACAATAAAAATTTTATTTGGGCTGTAAGATTTCACATTTATTTGTTCAAGAAAAATACTTTTAATTTTTCACTTACTTTCAAAATCGTGTAACCCTACCTGCTGTTAACTTCTAACATAATTTGTATTTGCCACACACACACACACACACATTTCAACGCAAATGATTTCAAAGTGAGCACATGCGGTGGAAGTTGCAATGAAAAGGATGCCATGCCTGGTTCGCAAACACAATGCAACCACTTATGGTTATTTTACTAAGTAAAATTTACTTAATTTAAATTTTAAAAGTAAATGTGGTGTGCATGTGTAGGTGGGTGGTTAGTTGGTTGGGTATGTTTATGCGTGCATGCATGCATATTAATCATAATACATAAGCAGAGTTGAAAAGTAAACACAACCTAAGTTTGTGATGGAATTCATACGAAAACACTACCAACATGTCGCATAGTACTTGTATTGTTCAAACTCATACACTTGTGTGTTCGTTCGAGGCAGACGGTCTGGCGGACATGCTGTTAAGTGTGCCTTAAATATTTCGAAAAGTTGCCACCGTTTTATATGCTGTCAAAAACTCCCTTATTTTTGCCTATTCCGAAAAAAATAAAAAGTCAGTATGTGATTGGAGCTAAATTCAGTTTTGTTTTCATATTCTACCTATATTTTCTCTACTAAATGTATCTCTTGATGAAAATAACTATTCGGAGTGTCACTGATCTTCGGCTACACGCGTATTTTGGGTTTGTAGGGAAGGCAGAAGACTTTTCGATTTTGTTTCCAACCGTAACATAATAAATATAGTTCGATGTTCCCAGGTAAAAGCCCGTATTTTTCATCGTCGATTTCTATAAACGTATTGAAGCAAAAGAAAGAAAAAAATAGGCCAAACTATTGGAAGGGGTTGGTGTGTCATATATTATCGACTTTAAGAAATGGTAGGATGCTTACAAGGGACGTCAAACTCACATTTTAGTCAAATACAATCTGTAGATATAAGTAAAATATATATTTCTTTTTAACGCTTTCTCAATTTTGTTCGGCATAGTGGTTTAATGTCCGCACAAAAATCTATGTACCAGGAAAGTAAGTAAAATCGCTAAAATTGATTAAACAATTTTTTAAATTTTTAACATATTTTGCAAAACATGCCAACGCAGTTTTTTTACAAAAATGTTTATCAATAACAAAATTATCACAATTTAACAAAACAATATAAATTCAGGGTTATACAAATAAAAGGAAAGCTTAAGATGTTACCAGTCGAACAATATTCAATCCAATCTATTCAGTTAAGCTCCTCATTACCAAACTATATGTCTTCTAACAAATTGTTGCTACCAATCTTAGCTACCAAAAAATCCATCAACTAGCCCAGGTTAAGACATTTAAGACGTTTATTTAAATTCGTTAAAATTGTTGAAAAATGCATATCAAAACAACCTCCGATTGGCGTCGTATAAGAAAACATATAAAAATCTACTTATTTTTGAAAAATCACTTTAAAATTTTTTACATATCAATATTCTTAAGCGTTGATGCATGTATCTGTATACTTCTACCATGATTCATATGAAATGTACGACAAAAAGACTATATGTAATATATGAAAAAAGGAGAATACATGGAACCTACACTTCGATTAGCCGGCTGGGGACCGATCCGACCATAAATAGGCTGAAGAAGAGATTCTTATAAGTTCAATATTGTCATTCTGTTTGCAATATTTCGAAGTATTCCTTCGAGATCAAAAAATGTGCATACAATATGTCACTTTACACTCACAAAAAATTCATATCTTTCAATTTCTTTCTAAAAATTTCAATATTGTGTGCCTTGTAACACTATTTTAATTCTATACATTGTTAGCTGAAATATAATGCGGAAAAATGTCAAATTAATGTAAATTAGACACTAAATTAAAACTGAAATAAAAACTAGTAAAATTTTCAGGTGTCACAAAATACTTTAAACAAATCACATTTTTCATTTATTTTCCCAGAAAATTTTCGAAAAATGGTACTTTAACTAATAATAAAGTCTTTGTACAGCTCTTGTATAATCCAAGTCGATTTAATGATGTCAGTCTGTCAATATAGAAGTTAAAATTTTCGAGTTAAAGTAATAAAATGTGACATAGATGTTTGTTGTACTTCCACAGTGTTTGACATTGAAAATGCTCCACATTTGGGTTTAGCTCCATATAAGTATACCTCTGGACTAGGTTTCACATGGCGGACGAAATAAAAAGTTCGACCCTGTCGATTTTTTACTTGTTAAAATTTATTATGGTTCGTCCGAGGTTTGTATAACTTAAAAAGTATAATTCAAGATAAAAGAATCAAAAATATTAAATCCAAAATATAAGTTAGACCTTAAAAAAATGAAGATCAACTTGATTTTTTACGCGACACTTTATCAAAAAGGACCGCGTACCCTTTTTTACTTTATAAGTTTCAATTGTCAAAAGTGAACTTACATTCGCCAAACGTATCAAGAGCTTCACTGCTACCTATTTACGGATTAAAAATCAACTTTATTGTTTGACTGCTAATAAAAGAGTGACATAAAACTATTTTACATATTTTAAGTGAGAATGCAATTCTTAAATTTATTTGACTTTTTATTTTTACTTAACATTTTGACTTTTCATGAAATCATGCCACTCTTTTGTTTAAAAATTAGTTGTTGCTACCAAAAAGAAATTCTAGTTCGAAGTCAACTACCGATAATGTAAGCTATGGATTATAAAATAATTAATCGGAATTAAATGTTGGGAATATTTAAGACAGACGAATGTCTGTCAATGCAGTTTCATTGGAATTGGGTTAGCAGCTTTTGCAACTTTATTGTTGCTGGACTGGGAATTATTCTTTTGAATTATTTTTTAGGGAAATTATATTTTATTGGGTTAACAACTAGTTATTTTTTCAGGACTATGTTCTCATATTTCTTATGTTAATGAAAATTTCCCCCACTTTTTGAGCTTCTTCACAGCTAGGTGGCATCTCTGTTGTGGCCACCAATAATTTATGGGGGGCAGAATATCATTTTGTGCTGCTTAGAACACAGTCGATGGTCGCTGGCTGGTCGGCCCGTGGTCGCAAATCTGAAGTTTAGTCGACAGTAATAGTTCGTTACGTTAAAGTGTATATCGGGACGGCACAACGCGCATCTCATTTCAAAAAGAACTGGCTCGCGTGAACGTCGTCGTACTACACTCATCATATTTGTTTTTTATTCGGTTTCGTTGAAAATCTATTTAATTTGTTTTATTGAGAATTACTACTCCAGCATTTTTTTGCGTTCTGTTATTTGCAATGTAAGGGAACAACAACAACAAGTTTTTAAACAAATAACTCCAACAACAAGCACAATTTGCGTACCTACAACAATAAATGAAAATTACACACTGATTACAACGACAAACCTATCAGAAACAATTAAAGTGCCTTGATTCGAGCTGTTTTTTCGGTGTTTATTTTTTCGAACTTGTTCATACATTTGAATTGTTTTGAAATTGTTGCGCTTGGCTGCACGTGGAAGGTACCCACTTTAAAGTGTTAATTGAAATTGTATTCCTCTCGAGCGCCAAATACATTCACATGGATTTGAAACTTTAGCTTTAGTCCGTGTCGACGAAAAGTACTTGAGAAATGTTTCAAGTTGTGCGCGACGTCTGACTGTGGCAATTACAAAATCGTTAAAATCGTGTATACTTGAGCTGTTTTTTCCCCAAGCGAATAGTTAAGCGAGTACGGGCAAAAGTGAAGTGAGGTCGAGAATACAATACACGTCACAAGTCGGATGCAAAGCGTGAGCAAGAACACGCAAACAGTAGAGAAGTGAATATCGAAACACGGGAATGATCACCACAAACAGGGAATCTCCAACGTAAGACAATAGTTAGTTACTGTTGCAATACTACACTACATATGTATATAGCTATGTGAATACGTATGTATGCGTGTAAACGACACATTGTGTGCAACGTTAATGCAAATATCCAGCTGACTGCTTCTGCCTTCCGCTCATTCGAGACACCGCTCATCTTAATCACTCATTGCAAATGAACATCGGCCCTTGCTGCCCGATCGATTCATCGAATGAGCACCGAGATTTCAATTAACCATGACAGGTGTAAACATTAACAATGCTCAATGCCTTGAGAATTAGTGATTGTGATTTTGAAAGTGGCTTCAATTGTTTTTAAGCTTATGAGGTAGCTATTTTTTGTGATATTTTCGATTTCATTATTAAGCAATCCATTAGACAATTAAGTTATGAAGGTTACCACAAGCAAGCGTTTTTTGGCCAAACTCTAATTCGACGCTTGGTTTCATCTGACTTCCGTTGAGTCCCACGTAGCATGACATTAAATAGTAACTTTATTCGTTGCATTTGGTTTGCTAGTGCTGGAAGTGGGCACAGGACATTTGTTGCAGGGGTGAATGTGGTGTGTTCAACAAATTAATTCGCTTGAGTTCCATGATGTTTATTGCACCCCCATTCCCCCCCCCCCCCCCAAACACATTAGATTGTTCTACCTTTCCACTGTACCATCCTTAGCACAATTGTCAATTGGTATTGTGTCCACAAGGAGTGTGTACAAGTTGGCAACCACTCATACCAGGACGAAATAATTGTTTAGAGAATTAGGCAGAGAATTAGATACTGAGAAACGCAGAAGTTTGAAAAAAAATTACGAAATTAGTGTGAATCACATTTTAACGATTGGACTGATTTTTCTCACATCAAGCAGATAATGGAGTACGGATCTAATGAAATGAGTAAACTTTAATTGAATTATATGATTAACCACTTTGCTAAAATTAACCAAAGTTTGAGGAAAATATTAAATAAGGCCTCTAAAATATGCTGATTCTATGACGGTTTCACATAGCTGATGCACCAAACATGATATGTATGTCCGATTCCAATAAAATTTGAAATAAGTGACGGAATTTGGTACAAAAATGAATTTGCCAAATTATATTGAAATCAGTTGAGGCTTGGATATAGATTTATACAGGGTGAGATAAAAAAACTGCAACAAATTCAAACGGCATCATTTTTATATTCTTATTAAATTGTATTGAATGGAAGCAAAAAATGTCGGAAATAGCATCAAGTTTTAGAATAAGTTTAGGTTTGTTCGAATTGGACACCTTCGGCACGAATTATGGCCTTCAAACGGCCAATGAAACCGTCACACGCTGCCCGAATGTTGCTCTGCGGTATTTTGGTATTTTTTAGTGCCAACCTTGCTTTCCGAAATACTCCAGACATAATAGTCCAACGGATTGGTATCCTGAGATTTTGGTGACCATTTTGCGCTGGAAATGAAGCGAGGAACCTCATTTTGTAACCATTTTGGCGTGTGCTGAGTCCTGTTGGAGTGTCCAAAGTCTGAATTTATTCTGATGCCACGGTCGATTAATACGAGCGGAGAGCGACCATCTGCTGTTATGGCGGCCAAAATATAAAGAAATCACACTATCACGCTTGAATTCCATCACGAATAACTTTTTTTCTGGAAAATTCTCACCAAAATACATTTGAACGCTTGTAAACAATATAAAGAGCTGTCACTGGAATAATTTTAACACCGACGAGTGGCTTAGAAATGACAGCATGTTAAATGTTTTTAGAGGAAATACCAAGATGTCATTTAGACTTAAATATGTTAAGCCATATTTTTCAAATGTTGAAAATCGACCCTTGCTAAATCTGGACTTATATTGACTATTCTACAAATTGTCAAACGTAAATACTAAAGTATAGCTTATTCGGTTGGAAAATGTGTCAAGGGACTTTACAATAACTAAAGTTAACCGGTATCAATTTATAGGACCTAATCCAAAACACGAAACATGAGTGGCACCAGTAGCAGGCAAAGTGAAAACCAAACCAAAAAAAAAAAACCAAAAAATCGACGGGTCATTTCAATTGAAGCAAAGACATACTAATACTAATTCAATCAGTAGAAAAAATTCATTGAAAAGTCTTTAAAATGTGGTTGCTGACGCAAGGTGTCCGTGATAGCCATCGTGTCCTACCACCTATCGCACAACAAATTCGCACCAATTTAATAATTTCACAGCACCAATTTAATAATTTCACAGCCTTAATAGCATTTTGGGCAGACAAACAATAATCTACATTTTGTACAATACAATACAACAACACACTATATTAACTTTTTCCATAAAGCGAAGATCATTGCTTATTTTTAACGGGGTGTGTATATTAATTACAAATCTATCCATTCATTCACGGGACGTCTATGTACATTAGGTCGGAAAGCAAAACAAATTGCACTAATATATTACTATGGGAATAAAGAAAAAAAAAGATGATTGTGTTAACATTGAATAACACTTTTTGTGGGAAACGGGACACAATAGCTGTCATGGATATATAAACACAAAAATACGACTGGTGGTGGCTAACGCATGTTTGGGATAATTTATCACGAACAATTGCCTTGTACATATGCCTGCCTGATTGCAGACTAATTGATTTTGAGTGTTTCTGATATTGCATCCACACTTTATGATTCTAACGAACATATGGTTGCTGCTACCACACAAAGTCGCATTGCATTATCGAGCCACGGGCAGTAAGCCCTTCTGCATCGATGTGTTGCAGAAACACACAAACAAATAATAAGTTAATTCTGACGATGTTTCTATTATCCATACCAAGTCGATTTTGCGATGTCCGTGCATTGTCAGTGGGCAGGTCATGTCCATAAATCGGCCAAGTCGGTGCTATGGGTCCTATATCCTGTGGCAAAACACGTATTCCCGTAGCACCCATATAATAGTACTTCCAGGTACAAGTGACTAAGACCATCAAACAAATTTATATTTGTATTGTAAAAACTTTATTCAAAACTATTTGCATTAATATTTTTTTATTTTTTTTTAATAAAAGTAAATAAATTATTTATTTAATTTTTGAACTTAACGTTCCGCTTGTCTCTTTCTAACTTATTCAGGCATTATTGTTTAAAAATCAATTAGTTTCAATTAAATTGAGATTAAATATTGTCACTAATTATTAAAAGAGTAGACATCACATCACAGAATTTTGTATTATCTGACCTAATTGTGAATAATAATGTAATAAAAAATATTCCAGCAATAATTCAAATCTATATCACAGAATACGTATTCGTATTTAATTAAATGTATTTCTGGGACATTTTTATACCCTACAACACTATGTGTAAAATAATAAAAAAAATATATAAAAATATCTGAAAATATTGGTTTTGTAACATTATCTCATATTTTTTCAATTTTGTCATATTTTTGGCATATTTTCATTTTGAATTAAACATTTGGTAATATTTCTACAGCTAACAAAACTAAGTAGTTGGGATATCAGGATATAATATACAGATCGCATTTATGGCTCGATCCTTACGAAATTTTGCATGGGGATAAGATGAGGGTCAGAATAGATGCCTACTCTTTTTGGAGATGATCGCTATATATTTAGGGGTTGAAATGGACCAAAAAAACTGCAAAATTGTCAGCAGGTCGTAATTATCTCCCGATCCTCACGCCCATTTGCAAATTGTTACCGCACCGCCCATTTGTTACCGCACATTGCAAAAGCCAAGCAGTTCCGGATGGCCATCCAAAAATATTCAATGTGTGAAATAGTTTGCCAAATTTTGTAGACTAAATACGAAAATGTCCATTCCAGCGACATCTACCAATAAATTGGAAATGATCAAATTCGTTTAAGTTGCTACTATCCGAAAATTAGAGAACGAAACATGATGGTTTTCTTTTATTATTTGTCACAATATCTTGTAGAGTTCTTTCGAGTATCTCGCCTATATAAACTGTATGGTTTATTATAGTGTTGTAGGGTATTCAACGGTCGGCCCCGCTCAACTGTAGCCTTTGCTTACTTGTTTAATTTAACTCCTGAAGAGAATACAAACAGACAAAACAGAACTTTCAGCAAATTCACAAATTTGCCGATGCTTGTTGTAATAGGCTTACCTACTTGTCTTTCCCGCTCGCTAACACGAAAAATAAGACAAGAATTCTAAATCGGACAATACATACAACATTAGCATATTTTTTTAATTACATTCTCATTTCATTAAGGTGCGCACCTGATCTGGGAACTATTTTCAATGGTTAGAACTAGAGATAGAAAGGTATTCTGTTATTGCTACAAAATGGAATAATGTCATCTGTTTGTGTGTTAAAATCATCATAGAGTCCATATTATTTTCTGTAGATCATTTTTTATTTGAGAACTGTGTTTTTTATACCCTCCACCATACATAGTATGGAGGGTATATTAAGTTCGTCATTTTATACCAACATTAAGATCATTTTATTAGACCCAACCAAGTATATATATTCTTGATCAGCGTAAAATTCTAAGACGATTTATCCCTGTCCGTCTGTTGTAATCACGCTACAGTCAAAACGAATTGAGATAGGAAGATAAAATTTTGCACAGATCTCTCTTTTGTCTGCAGACAGGTCAAGTTCGAAGATGGGCTATATCGGTCCACGATTTTGTATAGCCCCCGTATAATGGTACCCCGATACACATTTTTCAACGGAATTATCTAAAATTCTACACAAGGAGTTCTTTGTCCACAATACCGTATATCCCCCATTAAACGGTAGCCCCCGAAATTATTTATTTTGATGATTTTAGCCACATTTTTCAACTTAATAGTCTGAAAAATCACACAAGGAGTTCCTTGTAAGTACTTTATCCCTTGGAAGAGAATTATCTATATAGGTCCACGATATCGTATAGCCTCCATCTAACGGTACCCCCCATATTTGGTATTTTGTTTTTTGTATTTGATTTTAGCCACATTTTGCAATGGAATTGTCTGACATTAT